AATAAATTGCTATAGTTGCCAATACAAATGTCCTACAAACTACCTTGTGTTCGAATATTGTAGCCATTTTTAGCAGATTGCAGAACAAATGTAGATCTTATTAATAGCCAGTAGATTGGATGAGATTGCCAACTCCATTCCTCATTTCATCCTCTATATTTAATGTGTCAGAGATTGCCTGTACCCTCGATGTAAATGCAGTAAAAACTGATTCTCCACGAGCTTCAATTGAGGTCAACTGCATAATTTGCTTAACTCTTGATCCATTGATGAACTTATCTCATCTCGGGTGTGATCGCGCTGCCAGATGCATTGTCCTGGGATAACAGATTTGTTAACATCTATCGAATCATGATTATGTCAGTTTGGCATTCAATTGGTTGGAGCTGATTCTCAGGTAATATCTTCATTATAATTCTCGCTTCTAAATGAATGTCAAGACCCAGGAGGATGAGACAGGTAAGTGAAGTATTATCAAATTTGTTTTCATTAAATAACAGAGATATTAGAATAGATCGCATGGGATACAAAATGGGCAGATGTAATTTTTTTAATTAATTAATTTTTGTTGATGTGTTTTTTTTTAGCAGTGTTTATTACTGTAATAAAGATACTTCTGGCATAGGAACACATTTATATCTACAAAATTACTGTCTGTTTCAATAGCACAGGGTATGAGCTGAAAGCTACGAATAGTTGGCCAGAATGATTGGAATTTCCCTAAATTTGCCAGGACTCCGATTAATTATAGTTCAGGTTAATTTTCATAAGAATCCTTGCATTCGATTCACCGCCTTATCACGTCATCGAGACATCTCAAAGTGCTTCACTGTAAAGTGAATTGCCTGTGTGTATTTTGTGGGCGAAACAAAATACACAGTGTATAAATGTTCAATTAAGGAAGAAGCACTATGCTCATAGGTAGCTCTACCTGCTGTTACAAATATCCTGCTAATCTCAAATAACTGTTCTTTTTTGTGTCTCTTACCTTATTAATGTCCTGATTTTTCTGTTGACTGTCTCTTATTTAATTGCCTTTGCTGGCAGCTCATTGCTCAAAATCATTCGCCTGTCTGTAGTTGATAACTGTGAGATCTCAGAGACTTGCTGTAGGGCAATCTTCTGTTGAAGTCATAGAAACGCTGTAGAAACAAATACACCAACGCACCTGCCTGTGCTACAGGCTACTGTCCAATAGTCCTAAAATGTTCAAATCGTAATAAACTAATTTTAAAAAATCAGCAAACATAACCGTTGTTTGAAGTTTACTCTGCTTACCCAGCAATAAGTAGGAACCCATTTCTTTGCTCGATTAGCAGATCATTTTCCAAGGGGGTAATAATCCTTTTCCCCCCCAAAAATGCGGTCACTCAAACCACCGTCTGTTTGTGGGACACTACTGTGTGCAATTGGCTGCCACGTTTCATCCACAAAATACACAGTTGACCTCATGTAGTTGACCTCAGTTGAAGCTCGTGGCGAATCAGTTTTTACTCTTCTGCGAGGGGCTTTGAGACGTCTCAATGACATGATAAGGCGCTATATCAAATACAAGATTATTATTATTAGTGGTAGTAGTAAGGTATAGAGGACATTAAAATGAAGAATATAGCAAGTACTATTTTCAAATGTTTTACTTGTTGGTATTCTAAACCTGACATACTTTCAAATCTCTAAATCTTTGCAATTACATGACATCAATTGACTGGCCTATGATAATCTGGTAGCATTTCATTGGGACTTGCCTCTATTTGTAAGTTGCCTTTCTACCTGTATTAATGGATTTCTATGTTTGCTCTATCTGGACCGCAGACATCAAGGAGATACAATAAAAGCAACCATGAATTGACTGGCAGGAGACATTTAATTGGACTGAGCTAGATAATATCAATACCTGCTTTTCAACCAGATAGATGACCTCATTGCAGCATCCAATTCTCTGTCTGGGAGCGTCAATAAGAGGTAATGTTGAACATCGCTACTAATAATCCTTGCGTTTGGTAAAGCGCCTTATCATTTTGTTAAGATGTCTCGAAGCGCTATACAGAGTATACAGTAAAGTGGTGTGACTGTGTGTTTTGTGGGTGAAAGGTGGCAACCAATTGCATACAGCAGTGTCCCACAAGCACTCATGGATTGAATGAACTTTACTGTATCTCTATCCCTGAACCGGGAGTGTGGATTGACAGGGTAGAAAAAAATATGCAAATTTTACCTACAATTTTAAAGTTATTAAATGGTGATGCAAACAATAGCATTTCCTAAAGTACTTCCAGGTATACTTCCGGACCTGAGCTCCAGGGTAATCAAGGTGATTCACCCCTAGCAATACTGCGTACGTTCCTTGTCTGCCTCTGCAGTGAAGTCCCACATTGAGAAATCTGTAAAAACATTTTTTTTTTTTTTTTGCAAATCGATGAGCAAACTATAAACATATCATACCCAGTTCATCGCTTCATTGCTCACTTGTTAAACAATCATTTAGCTTGTGCCCTGAAGAACATTCTATCATGCAGAATGTTATCAAATATGTGAACTAGATATTGTTTGTTCTGTGGTGGACTATGAAATAACATATTAGCAGATGGTACACACCTCCACAGCCCCTTGGTGGTTTGCTGAACATGTGTAGTCACAGCGACTGTACAAAGTCGCTGTTGCCGGAACCACTTTCCAACTTTCACTACCGTTGGGTGTTAAATTGCATTTCCACACTTCACTGCAGTAGTGTCCCAAATTTGGCCAATTGGTCAGACTGGAGTGCGTCAAAAGTTCGCAATACAATAAAAACTTAAATGGTTTATCAATGAAACATCACCCGCAACGTGTGTTATTCCTTGGACGTGCCAGAATGTGTTCGTCTGCATATTACTGTACACAGTCAAATGATACATGAGTTATCCTTTTTCACATTTGGTTTCCTAGTTCATGTTTTACTCTTGTTGGCATCATGGCAGACTGACAGTCACTTCCCACGTGAATATCATGGGATTTGGTTAGATATTATACTGAGAAGTATTGTGACTGACAGAGGAAAAGAAACAAAATGAATACATTGCATATTCAAACTCATATCCATGACTCATCGATCAGTTGAATGGTGCATTTGAAGTGAAATGTCCTCCTTCCCAATAACTGCAAATACAGAGACATGTGTTTAATTGAATCCACCTTGACAGCAAATATTATTCATAAAACCAAACTATTCATATGACCAGACTAAATACAAGAGGAGACTCCACCCCACCCGAGGCACCAACCATGCTATCCTCCAACAGTCAGATGGGTCCTCACTCGCACGTGGCCAACCGATCAACCTCCAGGGACCTCTCTGGGGTGTAAGGCGAGGGGAGTGGGGAGGAGGAGAAGACGCAATGACATTTGCTCTGTATTGTTCGTTTGTTTTATTATTGACTGTTTGGGGGACACTGCTGTCCGCAATTAGCTGCTGCGTTTCGCCCACAAAGTACGCAGTCACTACAGTTTACAGTATATCCTGTGAAGCGCTTTGAGACATTTCAACGACATGATAAGACGCTATATCAAATGCAAGGATTATTATTATTGTCGAAGGTAGTGATTTGGGACTATGCGTTTATCTGGGCTCAAATTAATTGCATTTTTATGCAAATGGTCACAGGGAAAATTATTTAATAAACCAAATCATTCATATATTCAATTTCCCCACCTATACGTATTGTTGTTATTATTATATGTGCGAATGGTTTGGAATTTCTAAATTATATTCAAATAACTGAACTATTCGATTATCTGATATTCAATTAAGCAAATTTCACTGCAATTCATCCTGACTAAGTCTTTTTTTCCCCCTCAATAAATCACTGGAGAGAGGGAAATTCACTGCTCAGATGGAAAAAATGGTGAGACTAAAAGGACTCTTTAAATGTTAGAATAATCGCTCTTTGAAAAAAAGTGTCAATGAAACCAACATTTTTAATTAAAAAATTCATGCCATATCTATTGCATTAATGAAATGGGTAACAGCATTCCCTTTATTGTTGAAAATCTCTGATAGATTTGCACTCAAGAAACAGTCGCTACACTTGACAAAATCAACTGTAAATCGCTTTGAGACGTTTCAACATGACAGTCGCATTAACAAATACAAGGGTTATTATTATTTTAGCTTGCTCACGTTTACGAACTGGAACCCACTAACATTTCTCTATTTATTACCGACAAAGGGATCTGATTCACTGGAAGCTCTTTTCTCTGAAAATCCTATTCCTGATTTAAAATGTCACCCACAAAACGTACAGTCAATTCACTTCGCAGTATAGGCGGCGAAGCGCTTTGAGACGTCTCAACGACACAATAAGGTGTTTTATCAAATACAAGGATTATCGTTATTATTATTTGCTGGTGAGATCCATTGCGTTTACAGTGAGAGCAAAAGCAGTCACAGCCTATACCTTTTTTTAAGGGCTGTTCAGTCTTAAACTGAGTTGCAGAAACGATTGCTCTTCTCCTCACAGGCACAGGATTCAATCAATTAATCAATACATCTACCTATTTGGCTCATTGCATTGTGTGTGCCATTAATTCTGCTGAGCTTCTCATTCAGTGTTAAAGAAAAAGGGAGCAAGTCCACGTGTTGTGATGCCAGCCTTGCCCCAAGTCAGTGTGTGTGTGTGTGGTGTGTGAGAGAGAGATTTTGTGCGCAGGATTTACTGGAGAGGGAATAGGAGGAGGAGGGAGAGAGAGAGAGAGAGAAGTGGGTTCATTCTCTCCAGCTGATCCAGTCAGTCCATCCACTCTCACCTGCAACATGAGGAAGGCAAGTTGAGCTGAGCTGAGCTGAGCTGCTCCAACCTGCATCTCCTGTCACTGAGCAAACCCAGCTCAAGCCACACAGAAGCTGCAAAAGGCAACCATCAGTGAACAAGCCTTCTTGTCATTTGCAATAGCATCGAGAGAGAGAGAGAGAGAGAGAGAGAGAAATTACCAGCCTGGGAGAGAGGAGGAGAGAGAGAGAGAGAGAGAGGGGAAAAAAAGCAACACAGAACACAGGCAGTCAGTGAGTGAAGGAACAGCTGATGAAACTTGCTTCTACCAGAGATTATTGTGGACTCGCAATCTTATGCAAAAAGTAGAATGCTGCAGAATTGGAAAGGTTAGAAGTTTGTGTGGGATCAGGGAGACTGTGTGCATTTTTTTTTAATATTATTAATAATAATAATAATAACAATCCAGTTTCGTTTGCAATGAGAAGGAACATCGTTACTCAACCAGACAACGTCAGCCTGAATCTGTGAAATCAACCCACAGAGACACAGAGAGAGAAAGAGGAGGAAACCTGGAAAAAAAAAAGGGAAAGATTAAGACTTGTGAATTGGTGGGTGGGGGGCGTTTGTGGCAGAGCTGGGACTGCACTGGAAGAGATGCTCTTGTGTGCATTTTTTGGAAGAGGATAAAGAAGACAAGAAGGGTTGCAAACGATTGGGGGGTGGGATGGGGATTTCTCTGTTATTGTGTTCTTTGTGTTTTGTTGCATTAGGAGCCACATCAGTGTGTGCGCGTGTTGTGTAAGGAAGAACAAAGTGGTGGGTTAGAGGCTAAGACCAAATACCCTGTCGGACAAGTGGACACAGAGACAGACCCAGAGAACCCAAGTCGCGATTGTCAGAGCAATAATCTGGCTCTTGACCCGTATTATGTCTGCGCTTCGCAGAAAATTCGGCGACGACTACCAAGTGGTGACCACCTTATCGAGTGGCCCTGGATTCAACCAGCCGCCCAAGAAGAAGAGGCAGAGGTTCGTGGACAAGAACGGGCGATGTAACGTACAGCACGGTAACCTGGGCAGCGAGAACAGCCGCTACCTCTCGGATCTGTTCACCACTTTAGTGGATTTGAAATGGCGCTGGAACCTATTCATCTTTATCCTGACATACACTGTGGCTTGGCTCTTTATGGCATTTATGTGGTGGGTGATCGCCTATATCAGAGGGGACCTCAATAAACCTCATGGTGAGGATGATACCCCGTGTGTGGCCAATGTCTATAACTTTCCCTCTGCCTTCCTGTTCTTCATTGAGACGGAGGCCACCATAGGTTACGGGCACAGGTACATTACTGACAAGTGCCCAGAGGGCATCATTCTCTTTCTCTTTCAGTCCATCCTGGGCTCCATCGTGGACGCTTTCTTGATCGGTTGCATGTTCATTAAGATGTCTCAACCCAAGAAGCGAGCTGAGACGCTGATGTTCAGCGAACATGCGGTTATTTCCATGAGGGACGGCAAGCTGACTCTGATGTTCAGAGTGGGAAACCTTCGCAACAGCCATATGGTGTCCGCACAGATGCGTTGTAAATTGCTCAAAGTAAGTAGTGACACTTGACTGCAAGATTTGAATTGTTTTGGATAACCTCTGTGTGTGTGTGTGTGTGTGTGTGTGTTGCAGCCTACATATTGTCTTTATTTATCACTTGTATGTTAATAATAATCCTAGAATAATCCTTGAATTTGATATTGCACCTTATCACGTCTTCGAGAGTTCTCAAAGCGCTTCACAGAATGTACTGTCAAGTGAATTGACTGTATATTTTGTGGGCAAAATGCGTCAGCCAATTGAGCACAACAGCGTCCAACAAACAGTCGTGGATTGAGTGACCAAATTATTTTTTAAACAAAATTCTGTTGTGACAGTTGACTGCAAGACTTGGATTGATTCAAATAACCTGTGTGCCTGTGTGTGTACGTATGTGTGTTGCAGCCTACATATTGCCTTATTTTAATTTTTTTTATTATTCTCACTTGGTTTAGCGCTGATTTGTTTTACGTACTGTAGGATTCTTTCTGTCTCTCACGTCCCCCATCTCACACACACACACACACACTGAAATTAACATAAAGGAAATTAAGTAGAGCGTTGCTATGGGTTCCTTGTAACTCCAGGCAAGGTTTGTGGTACAGGCACTATATCATGTAATATGTTTCCTCCTTACTGGGTAGCAATTCTCTAGTCTTAGGTAATGATGTGCAATCCAGGTTAGTTGATTTTAATTTGGAAATAAATTGAACAGCTGTCACTAGTCGTGTGAAGCCCCCTCTCTCTCTCACACACACACACACACACCCAGAATAACTGTTAGGGTGAATGAAATGCATTTTTTTTATTTGAAAGGAAATCTTTGTCAACTCTTCTCTCTCCCGACCTGAGTAGTTGGGGGGGTGGTGACAAAAAGCATGAAAAATGATTGGTAAGGAACCCTTTCTATTAAGCACTGCAGCGACGATCTGCATCTGCAATGTTTAATAGCAGAAGAGATTTCAAAGGAGCTCTGATTTGAAGCTCGTTCATTTATTTTCCATTGTACGCGCATATTGGCTTGTCGTATTTTTTCCCCTTTGAACACGAATCACACTAATTACAGGACTAGAATAGTTGCCCTAGCTCCCTAGATGCCAAGCTGACTGAAAATTCTCAAGTAATTATTATCCACACTCAGATACTTGCCCTTCTGCTCTCTATCATTAAGTAACTATTGCCGTAAAGCAGCATGATGTGATGTGACCGTCCTAAATTATTAAAACACCACCTGCAAATATCAACAATGATACATTCGTAATTGGACATCCATAATATTACACAATGATAATGTACCGGCACCTCCTCGTAAGATGCATCCTGACTGCAATTGCAACAGCAATAAATCAATGGGGCCCAACTCTGATTAGTTCAAAAATCATGTTTTTTTAAAGGCAAAGCAGACCCAGGTTCCAAACATTTCAGTCCAACACTCCAAAATCTTTAATTCCCATCACAAATGAATCCTAGCCATATAAATCCAAGCATTACATATAAAAAAAAGTCAAAATTTGATCATCAATACCCTGGTCACCAAATGATATTCTTATACTAATGCCTCAAAAAAATACATTCATTACTGATGCATAAAAGGCTGCGTTGGATTTACACCTCATTTTAATAGCTAACTTGACGGAGCCAGGATTTTCACCTGTTTCAGTCGGTAGACTGACGTCATAGGATCCTGAGAAAGGTTACCGTAAACCATCTGTGTCAAGTATGGATTCTGGCAGCTTCAAAGAAGTGGGCAAGTTGCAGATGAACTCATTTCAAAGCCAATTACACCAATAACCAGTTATTGTGTTGAGGCACAGCACAAACTTTTAGGTCCCATTTATCAAGCCACTTGCCTCTATTATGCAGCAACTCTGGCTCAACTGGGAAGATCAAATCAGATTATCTTTTACTCTAATTACTTGCACATACATACATGTTACTGTACAACAGGTATAGAAAATGGGGTGATTAGAAAATAGGGGCAAAGCATTGGCTGGGAAACTCAGATGATCTGATAATTTGGTTGGTCGATTATGAAATGTATTAATATTCTATACAGGCAACTAAATAATAGATGAGAGAACTGCAGTGTAGTTTATATGTTTGCATGGTTTGGAACTCAACCATGTATGGTACACCAACCAGTTCCCTTCACCATGCAATCTGGAAGGATTTTTGGCAAGATCATTATGTGAACTTTACACAAAATGTTATTTGTCATCGGTCCAAAATGCCTAAAATATCGTTGCATTATGCACAGGTGAGACTATGTAATGTGCATCTTTGGATTTGAGTAGGTGGGTGTGTGGGGGAAGCACTCATTATTAGTTGTGGAGAGGTTTGGCAGTGCTGTGAAACATTGTCAGGATGTCTTGATGAACACTCCAGCCAGCCCAGTATTGATGTCTTCTTTCCACGCTTGTCTAGTCTCGACAGACCCCTGAGGGTGAGTTCTTACCCCTCGACCAACTCGAACTGGACGTGGGCTTTAGCACGGGGGCAGACCAGCTTTTCCTCGTCTCCCCGCTCACTATCTGCCATGTGATTGATCCCAAGAGCCCTTTCTACGACCTCTCCCAGCAGTCCATGAAAACCGAACAATTCGAGATCGTCGTCATCCTGGAGGGAATCGTGGAAACGACTGGTGAGTGAAACAATCTGCACTTTTCAGCGAGTGTAAGTGCCAACGAGTGAGTCCCCTTTGCGAGTCCCAGTAAGCTTCAGCGGTGATCAAGTAACCAATGAAGCAGGTAACTCTTTGTGATGGACCGCTAATAAACTTAGCCAAGCTGAAAAAGCAGAGAGAGGTTGGTTTCTTCAGGAAACAAAGTAAGTAAGTATCAGAGACTTGTCTGGAGAGGAAGGCTAGTCCCATTGCAAATTCAGGTCAGTTAAATTGGGAGTCAACCGCCCATTGTCATTGCAGGTAACCCAAATGTTTTAACATGGAGTGGGGCAGTCGTCTTAAAATAGATTCTATAACGAGCCCTAGTTCTCAATACAGTAATATTTCCCCCAGACATTGGGAAGAAGAAGCTAAGAGGTGGTGATTGTTAATGGTGGAGGCATTGCTTGCCATGTAAATGTGTCTCTCAGACTGTAGTGTGTTGTACGCAGAATGACGTTTGGTGGTAGAAGTAGATGTGAGTGTTGCAAAATAGCCCCAGATATTTAGGGATGAATTAGGGCTGTGTTGGGTAGGGGAAAAGTTGCATTTATTAAGTGAATTGATGACTCATTATGTTTGGTTAACAGTCGTTGGAACTGAAACGCCTTTCCCAATCAGGAGGACGTCCCAAGGTGCTGTACGTCATCTAATGCAAGGATTATATTATCAATTTAGGATATTGTAAGACACTGAAAAGTAATCACTTGCCACTATTTCTAATATATTTATTAATTAAGTAATTCACTGTCTGAAGATATCCCAAAAGTTTCTCCTCATTAATTTACCTTCGAGTGAATTACTTTTCGTGCTTCTTGAGATGATTGTGTTTTGAGTTGAACTTGAAGTAAAATCCAAATGCAAGTCATGTATTTTGATTTTACATTTATGTAAAATATTAAATGTATTTTTTTTGTGATCTTTGTATCACAGAATGCTTCTATATTCTAGATAAAACACTTGGTGCAAACTTGCATTGTATATTAACAGCCTGATTTTAAAAAAAATGAACTCTCATTAGGACCATAAAAATGTTTTAGAACCAGGGAAATGTGGGAAAGCACGATTAAATGAAGAGTTCATCCTTCTGAAGTGCAAACAAATACCCGAAAGAGGAAACTGCATGGGGAATAAAGCTTATTAAATGTTAGTTGAGATAAAAAAACCTTTTAAGAGCCTCAAGAGGAGGCAGAAACATTAAATATATTTTTTTTATTTAGCATGCAGAACATTTCTTTTTTATTGTTAATCCATTTAGTTTTTTTTTAAATGGAAAGGACATCAGCAGCACTAATCTTGTAAAAATACAAGTCACGGGTGTTGTAACAGAATCAGCAGAAGATGGTTCTATAGAAGGTTTAGATGTGCTCCAATACACAGAAGACAGTCAAATAAAGCAGCATAGTTGAAGTACATTGCTTGGAATAGAACAGTATAGGACAAAATATTGCTTTGGAGCGAATGGTGTAAAGAGGCAATGATTTTGTTTTATCATAAATTGACAAATTTATCAAAAGTTTTTTTAATCGAAAGTGGCTTTAGTGCCTGATGTTTTAATGTGATTTGTACCTTCAGCTTGCAGTCTCCGGCCAAACACGGTTGGTTGAACCTTTAATATAAAAGTCCACGCGCCTTTAAAGGGATATTGTTAGCTGACTAAAATGCCTTGAGAAATATTTATCCGGCTCAATGAACAGAAGTACAAAGTGAATTGAATGGCCACCTGGTTTTCCCACTTGTACTGCTGCTAATTTATTAAATGTATACTGTACACACACGTTTCAAATTAACAGGCCAAATAGCCAAGATTGCCCAACCTGCTGGAATGGACTTTCACCCATGTTAACTTGTGGGCATTAAGCAGAATATTTGGAATTGATTTTTGGGAGGGTAATGAAATTACAGTGCTCCATTAGCCCAATGTAGGTTATTACATTACAATAAAGCCCTTGGGCGATTATTCTCGATGCTAATTTCAAATGAACATAACGCAGATTAGGAAAAAAATCTGTGGAGCTCGAAGTCATTTGCATATTTAATAGCATTCTGAGTGCAACTTCACACAGAGGTTCCTTTTAGTTAGTTTATTGTACACTCATTTCTTGGTCTGGTTGCCTCGTACTCCCAAACTCATCGGATATAATTTGTATTGTAGGAGAACGTGGGATAGATAGTACTACTTCTGTCTTTCTACTCATGGTGAGACTCTTGACCACTAACCAGCCCCTACATTTGGTGTTGAAGTAAACTTGTTGCAAATGATGTTGGGGGCCCAGTATATGTGGGTGGTTGAACTCATGTCTTTCAAAGAGCCGGTAGAGACACCATGGGCTGAATGGCCTCCTTCTGTGCTGTAAGATTCTATGATGCCATCATTCTTGCTGGCATCTCAGTGGCATTAATATAAGATCAAGTTTTAAGACATGACTGTATATTCTGTGGACTTCACAGTTACCATTCCAAACTGGAACAGCAAAGGGTTCAAAGACTGATTGAAACCGAACCGCGTGTTTATTACTTTAATATAACGTCTTGCATCAAATCTCGTGTTTATCCTTCACTGAAATCGTAACTGATTTTAATTCATATCAAATGCTCTGCAAAACGTTCCTTTTTTTTTCAACAAACGGTAGAATTCAATTTTCGTTTTTTTTTTAAAAAAGTAGAATTATTCGATGGTCTTATTATTATCCCTCTTCCAGTAACTTTTAGAGAGCTGCGTTTCCATATTTTTACCAGGTGAGGTCACCATTTCTGAAGGTGATGGGGAAACAAAGAACAAACTACAGTATAAGCAAGCGGTTTGACCCTGCTGTGCTTGATCAAGCACAATATACCATATGGAGTTCAATTTTCTGCCACACTCTCTGGTATCTTTATGCACGTGCCATCTTAATCTGTTTGCATCTATTCGCGTTACAGAGAATTGGCAGACAATGTGATTACATTACTGCAGCAACAAAGGTTGTGTTTTTTTTTTGCAGTCATCTTCACAATTACCCAGGTATAAACGCTAGAGTTCCTGGACGCGCTTTCAGGCACTGTGCCCCGAAACTCCGGAACACTCTTATTCTATCCCTCCGCTTTGACCCCTCCTTCCCCATCTTCAGGTCACGCTTGAAAAACCTTCCTCTTCGACCGTGCCCACACAGTTCACCTTCCCTCTCCTGGCTCTGCATTGTGCTCCGCCACTGTCAAACACTCTGGGACGTTGCTCTACGTGGGGGACACTATATAAATGCAAGTTGTTGCTGTAGAATATTTTGGAAGCTTTGGCATTGATGTCATCGCATGTTGGATAGCAGTGAGGAGTTCTGTCCGGTTAGTTTGGAAAGATTTCCCCCATGTCCCAGATGTGAACATGGATGAATAACCTGTCTGGCTTAATGGATAACAGAAACTTTCTGTCCAGATATGTAGTTTCGGACCAAAAAAGCTGTGTGCCACAGATGAAGCTTCAAAATGCATTGAACTCGTCTCTGAACGCAAAGCTATTAATGCTGATATTCTAATGAGTCATTAGACAGTCCTTTGGGATTATTGTATGTTGTGCTACTTTGTACATTAGCAGAACACCCAAAGCAGTTGGCAATAAGCACAAAACCCGTGCAACAAGCAAACTACAGTATTATGAAAGATTATTGAACTATTAAAGCTTCGTGTCTCGCAGTTGTTGTGCTGGAATTACTGTTGAATATTTGAAGCAGGTTTTAATCGAACATGATACTAAAATATTCTGAAATATGATAGAATTTTTTGGGGAGTGAAACAAATGTTTCTCCACTTATCGCCACCCACAGTGACTAAAAGACATTGGAAATACCATATTGTTCTCACTTTAAAATCAATGACGATTTGTTTTTGACACCCAAAATGTATGTAGCAAAACGTTAAAATGTATAGATTATAGTTCGAGTAATAAACAGCAATAAAAAAAATCTTTACAATTCAAATAGTGGGGGGAAACAATATCATTGCTAAACAAAACTCTGGACCTAAATAATTTTTTTACCAACATTAATTATTTTGGTGAAGGACATTAATTTGATTTGGTTCAAATCACGAGCAGCTTGCTGCTGACATTGCATTCTTGATTTGTTTTTTCTTTCATCAAATTAATTTCAACTTTCCTGATGTGTTCAGTGACTTTGGTGAATGATACCTGGGGAATAGTTGATGTTTTGAACGTGTCGGAGACTTGTGTTGCTGTACGATCACCGAATGGTCAGTTGTTCTGCTGGATTGTTCTCTCTTCTCTCTGCTGAAGACCTTTCTTTTCGACCGCGCCTTTGGTCACCTTCTCCCCCACCTCCCCTTGGCTCCCCCACCTCCCCTTGGCTCCCCCTCCTCCCCCTGGCTCCCCCTCCTCCCCCTGGCTCCCCCCCTCCCCACGGCTCGGTCCCGGGATCCGTTACTGTAAAGCGCTCTGAGATGCCGTCCGGCGTGGAGGACAAATCCAAGTTGTTGTTGTTGGATGATTCCAGGTCAGCACCATTTTACGTTTCAGCTGTGCTTGGTCTGTTGGAGTTATTGTCTGTTGCTGACAGCTTCCTTCCAAACGTTCTCGTTTTACATTTCTGTTTTGAAGGTGGTATTTCATTGGATTTATGCTTCCAGAGGTACTAGCGACCCACTGTCAAATCAGTCATTGTTTTCCTTGACACAATAAGTGTTGCAGTCTATTCCCTACCCGGGGCATTGCAGCGATGTCTGATCTGAACCCCATTTCCACCTTACGCATGTTAACCGTGCTGCCTCGGTCATTAGAACCACTACCCGATTGTTCCCTTCCTAGTCTTGATCTGTGGAAAGAGGTTGACGTTATAGCCCAAATAAAAGACTGTAAACTGTAAATATGTTAAGGTTTGGTAGAATCTATCCTCCTGCCTCTAATTATATACGTTCAAAAGCCCATTTCGAAGAATCAATTAATATTATACAGAAGCTTAGGAAATGAAAAGTGTTTTTCTTTAAATATA